TACCCAAGGTCAGGAGTTCGAGACCAGCCTGGCCAACATGGTGAAACCCCGTCTTTAGTAAAACTCAAAAATTAGCCGGGCATGATGGCGGGTGCCTGGAATCCCAGCTACCCAGGAGGCTGAGACAGGAGAACCACTTGAACCTGGGAGGCGGAGGTTGCAGTGAGCCAAGATCGCGCCACTGAACTCCAGCCTGAGTGACAGAGCGAGACTCTCAAAAAAAGAAAAAGAAAAAAGAAGTCATTTAGGCTGGGTGCCATGGCTCAAGCCTTTAATCCCAGCACTTTGGGAGGCTAAGGGGGAGAACTGCTTGAAGCACAGGAGTTTGAGACCAGGCTGGGCAACATGGCAAGACCCCATCTCTACAAAATAAAAAAAATTAGCCAGGTGTGGTGACGCATGCCTGTGGTGTCAGCCACTTTGGAGGCTGAGGAGGGAGGATCACTTGAGCCCTGGAGTTTGAGGCTATAGTGAGCTGTCATTGCATCACTGCCCTCTAGCCTGGGTGTCAGAGAGAGACCCCCATCACAAAAAAAAAAAAAAAATAGTAAGGGGATTAAAGAGTGTGGTCAAGTTTTGGAAGATGGGGGTCATCTGAGGAAGGCAACTAAGAAGGAAATGTCTTTGTTGTCCTACCCTTAAATGTTGTTTGTCCCCGGGTTTTAGTGTTGGCCTTTCACATACTTCCTGGATGATCTCCTTTGATATATTTTGTTACACTGTTATCTTCTAAGAGAAACACTGATAAGCTGAAGTTTGTCGGGGTAATTAAGTAGTTGATGTTATAGTTCAGAAAATAATAGGTTGGCTTTTCCTTTAGAGGAGAATTTTCTTGGTAGCAGTTTGCTATGGTAATTTGAAATTTAAAGTACTGAGATCACTTGAAAACACAGTACAGATCCCACTGTTCTTAGTATTAATAACTAGTTAGCACCATGTTTTTTCTCTAGTATTATAAAACCCTAAAGCATTATCAATTTGACAGTTTGAAAATATGTTAGCTTTTAGTCTCGATGTTTTGTACTACAAAGAAATTTAAATAGTTATTTTACTTTTCATGTTATGTTTCATCATCAAATATATTATTTGTTCCATCATGTCTATTAAAGATCTCTTTCTCAATTCTGATATAAACTGTGATTTGCATTATATATTCTCTAAATATTTTTTCCTCTAAAAGACCAACTGAAAGTTTCATAGTTAATTGTCAAATAATTGGAACTATTTATTTTATAGACTTTCAGTAAAATATAAATAAAGATTATTTATGCAGCAAAGTTAATTGTATTCCTTACAACAAAGCAGTCATTAGTATGGCTTTTCAGTAAGGTGTATTTTGTTCATAATGTGCTTCCTAAGATATTTATAAATTACCTCAACAAAATGAATTAGGACCATGGGTGTATATAGCTAGAAAATGGCCTTGGTATTGCAGAATACTAACTTAATGTTTTGGTATCATTTCAGGCAACATTTCATTTGTTGCATTTCCAGTTTCCAATACCAACTCACCTACAAAGATTTTACCAAAAACCTTAGGACCAATAAATGTGAATGTTGGACCCCAAATGGTAAGAAAATTATCAAATCTTAGAATTGAAACTTTGTTTAGCCAAGACTTATTTAAAGGATAATTGCATTAAATATGTTTGATCAGATATTCCAGTTAAACCAGGAGGGGCAGGTGTCTCACGCCTGTAATCCCAACACTTTGGGAAGCCGAGACAGGTGGATCACTTGAGCTCAGGAGTTCAAGACCAGCCTGGGCAACATGGTGAAACCCTGTCTCTACAAAAAACAGCTGGGCACTGTGGCACATGCCTGAAGTCCCAGCTACTTGGAGGACTGAGGCGGGAGGATTGCTTGAGCCCAAGAGGTCAAGGTCACAGTGAACCGTGTTTGCACCACTGCACTCCAACCTGGGTGATAAAGCAAGACCCTGTCTCAAAAAGAAAAAAACAAAATTATAATTAATTTCAGTTACCTGAGTCACTTTAAAAAAACATTCTGTTTTTATCTGAGTGTATCTGGTCAAGTCTTGAGCTTGAGAAAAAGAAAGTCATTGTGCTCTTTAATATTTAATTTTCACATATTTGAATCTGTGGATTCTGGATGTGTAGTTTTAAGTCTTTTGCTCTCTGTGTGAGGTTTCTCTTGTATTTAGTTGTTTAAATTGATTTGAAATGTATTATGCTTTATATCCTCCTCCTCTTTTCTTTTTCTTATAAAATAACCTTTACTGCTCTAAACTATGTATTCTCACATAAATGGAATCTGAGACCCAACAGTTAATTTACATCTGGAGCTATTAATTTAAAATTCCTTTCATTAAAGGCTTCTGGGGAAAAAACAATATACCAATTTATTTTAATCTTTAGTGGTAGAAATAATGAATGAAAAATGGAAAACAACTGTTTCTGTAAAGTCATTCATTAATTATGCTGGAGCGTGAAGTGTGTAGCACTTTCAGCAGACTTATTTATAAACAAGGTTGCATTCCACTACTCTGAAACTAAGTCTAATTTAAATGGCCTTACCCACCATTAGTAAAAGTACTCAAACATTTAAGCAATAACTCTTTGTTGCCAGTGTTTTCATCTTTTCATCTGTAGAGCAATAAGAATAAATTTCGCCCACAATGTACAACAGCACTGTGGACTATGTTAAATGCAAAGTTATTTAGATAAAAATATCTTTTAACATACCTAATGGTTTCAGAAAGTCTCTAAGACTTTAGGACACATTCTTGACATGACATTTTCCTTGGTTAGTTGAGGACTGTTTATCATCTGCAGAAATCAAGCTAAAGATCCAACACAATTTACTGTAAGTATGTGAAGAATGTAGTCTAGCTCCAAACCTCATGGAGATTTAAGCTCAAATAAGAGCCTTCATTTCAAGGTAGCTCAGGTTATATTTTCAAACATTTGCTAAGCATTTTCCCCTCCTCAGCCACTACTATAGGTGCAAATGAGATAAAACACTCAACTTTAAAATCTGCATTTTGAAATGTGATTATATAAGTACCAAAATTAAACATACTCAAATTTTTATGAGTCTTGCCCTTACAGTACTCTTCTGTTTTGAGAGATTATTTTCTATTATTTTTTGTTTGTTTAACGCTGCTGTACCCCAAGGTGAATTTATCCTTTGGAAGCATATATAATTTTTCTCCCATTGTCAGTTTGAACTAACATGCATGTTAGCCCTTACGTGGTCCAGTTCTGTTAATAATAAGTAGTGATGTGTGGTACTAACTCAGTTACTGTAAATCTCAGGATCAGCAGAACAAAGGTCACAAGAAGGAGAGGAGATTTGGAACTCTACCTTCAGCTGGGCCATCCCAAGTACTTAATTTGTCCGCCTACTTCTGAAGTCCTTTTTTCAGTTCTGAGTTCTTAGGCAGGAATCAGAATTTCGTTTTTGGTTTCCTAATGGTTGTAAGACCCCATTGCTATCTCTTGAATGTGTCCCTCCAAAATTCATGTTGAAGCTTAATCCCTATTGTCATGGTATTAAGGGGTGGGACCTTTGGGGAAGTAATTAAGCTATGAGGGCTTCATTCTCATGGAGGGCATTAGTGACTTTATAAAAGAAGTTGAGGCTGGGTGCGGCGGCTCAGGCCAGTAATCCCAGCACTTTGGGAGGCCGAGGTGGGCAGGTCATGAGATCAAGAGACTGAGACCATCCTGGTCAACATGGTGAAACCCATCTCTACTAAAAATACAATAATTGCTGAGGGTGGTGTCTCAAGCCTGTAATCCCAGCACTTTGGGAGGCCGAGGCAGGTGGATCACGAGGTCAGGAGATCAAGACCATCCTGGCTAAAACAGTGAAACCCCATCTCTACTAAAATACAAAAAATTAGCTGAGCATGGTGACACACATGTAGTCCTAGCTACTCGGGAGGCTAAGGCAGGAGAATCACTTGAACCCGGGAGGCAGAGGTTGCAGTGAGCAGAGATCGTGCCACTGTACTCCAGTCTGGGCAATAGAGCAAGACTCCGTCTAAAAAAAAAAAAAAAAAAAAAAAAGTTGAAGGGAGCTCTTTGCCCCACTTCCTGTAGTGAAGACACTACAAGAAGGTACCACCTATGAAGCAGAGAGTGAGCCTTCACTAGACACTGAATTTGCTGGCTTGATCCTGGACTTCCCAGCCACCAGAACTTCAAGAAATACATTTCTATCGTTTATAAATTACCTATGCTAAGGTATTTTGTTATAGCAGACTAAGACAAAAAAATTAGTACCAAGAACTGGGGTGCTGCCAGAACAAACACCTAAAACTGTGGAAATGGCTTTAGAACTGGGTAATGGGCAGAGGCTGGAAGAGTTCAGAGGAACAGGCTGGAAAAAGCCTCTTGAGATGAATGGACCATTAAGGGTGATTCTGGTGAGGAATCAGAAGAGGAGGAGAGCTGTAGAGAAAGCCTCACTCTTCTTAGAGAGTACCTCCGTGGTCATGAACAGAATGTTGGCACAAATATGGATGGTAAAGGCCATTATAATGAGGTCCCAGACAGGAGTGAAGGACATGTTATTGGAAACTGGAGGAAAAGCCATCCTTGTTACAGAGTAGCAAAAGGCTGGGCGCAGTGGCTCATTCCTGTAATCCCATCATTTTGTGAGGCCAAGGCAGAAGGATGTCTTGAGCCCAGTAGTTCAAGACCAGCCTGGGCAACATAGTGAGACCTCATCTCTACTAAAAAAAAAACTAAAAATAAAAATTAGCTAGGCCGGGTGCAGTGGTTCATACCTGTAATCCCAGCACTTCGGGAGGCCGAGGCTGGTGGATCACTTGAGGTCAGGAGTTCAAGACCAGCCTGGCCTACGTGGTGAAACCCTGTCTCTACTAAAAATACAGAAATTAGCCGGACATGGTGGTGGGTGCCTGTAATCCCAACTACTTGGGAGGCTGAGGCAGGAAGATCACTTGAACCTGGGAGCCTGAGGTTGCAGTGAGCAAAGATTGCACCATTGCACTCCAGCCTGGGCAACAGAGTGAGACTTTGTCTCAGAAAACAAACAAACAAAAACCCAGGCATGGTGGCACCTATAGTCCTTGCCACTCAGGAGATTAAGGAGAGAGGATCACTTGGGCCCAAGAGTCCAAGGCTGTAGTGACCCTGACAGAGGAGTCACTATAAGACAACCAAACAACAACCACTAAAAAAGTGGCAAGGGACTTCACTGAATTGTTTTCCTGTTTTAATGTTTTGTGGAAGGAGGAACTTAGGATCAGTGAAATTGGATAGTTGGCCAAAGAAATTTCTAAGCAAAGTGTTTAGGGATCAACGTGGCTTCTCTTGGCTGTTTATAGTAAAATGTGAGAAGAGAGAAGTGAATTAAAGATATAATTTATAATCAGAAGTGAAGATTTAGGAAATTCTCAGCTTGGCCATGTAAAGAATAAAAAAGCATGTTCTGGAGAGAACACCAAAAGAGTGGCCTAGTCACCTTTTGATAAAGAAGACCAGTGTGCATGGGTGGAAGCTTGGTGCTGTTCATCAAAACATGGAAGAATAAACCCACAGCATTTCAGTGATTATCGATGCTGCTCCTCTCATCACAGGCCCAGAGGGCCAAGACATGGGGGACAGAACTATCAAAAGAGGGGCTTCAGGCGCTAATGAAACCCTGGCAATCGCTTCCTGGCACTGTGTCAAGTCTGCTCCCCAAATTTTGGCGCAGTGCTCCTTAGCCATTCCAGGTGTGGCTCCGGTAGGCCCAAATATAGTGCAAGTATATATGTGGCTGCTCCTCTAGAGGGCACAGGTGGTGAACCTTGGCAGTGTCTGAGTGATGCCATCTCCAGTGGGTACAGGGTGCACAAGCCGCGGGGTATGATAACTTCCACCTAGATTTTAAAAGATGCCCTGGAGAGCCTTAACAGATCCTGGCAGAGAATTGCTACAGAGGTGAGGCCACCACTGGGAACCCTCGCCAGGTCAAAGCTTAGTGGAGCTGAGAGGGGCGGGGTCGCTCCCTGAGGCCCTAGTCTAGTAGACCTTCCAGCATGCAACTGCAGCCTGGGAGAGCCACATGCAGAAGACTCAAACTCTAACCCAGGAGAACTGAGCATGGGCTGCCCCCAATAAAGTCATGGGGATGGGGGCCCCTGGTAGCCTGGGGGCCCAACTCCTGCTCCAGTGTGTCCAAAAGGCAGGATATCAAGTCAAAGATTATTCTGAAGCCTTAAAAGTTAATGTTTGCCCTGTTGGGTTTTGGATTGGTTGGGACCTATTATCCCTTTCTTCTTTTCTATTTTCTCCCTTTTGGAATGGGAATGCATGTTCTGTGCCTGTCCCATCATTGTATTTTGGAAACAGGTTGGATTTCACAGACTCACAGCTGGAGGGGAATTTGCCTCAGGATGAATTGCACCTTTGAGTCTTACTCATACCTGATTTGGGGAAGGAGTTAGGACTTGTGAGACTATGGAATGAAATGAATGTATTTTGCCTGTGAAATAGGAATGTTAGAGGGTCAGGAACTGAATGCTCTGGTCTGAATGGGTTCCTCCAAAATTCATGTTGAAACCTCATCCCTACTGTGGTGGTATTAAGAGGCGGGGCCTTTGGGGAAGTGATGAAGTCATGAGGGCTTCACCCTCATGAATGGAATTAGTGCCCTTATAAAAGAGGTTGAAGGGAGCACCCTGGACCCTTTCTGCTATTAGGATGCAACCAGAAGGCATCATCTCTGAAGCAGAGAATAAACCCTCACCAGGCACTGAATCTGTCAGTACTTTAATTTTGGACCTCTCAGCAACCTCCAGAACAGTGAGCAATAAATTTCTATGGTTTGTAAATTACCCAGTTTAGTACTCCTTGCGGAAGACTTTAAAGAAAATTAATTAGTTAATTACCCAGTCTAAGGTGGTTTGTTATAGTAGCCTGAATGGACTAAGACACCCAGTTAGAGCCATTATCGGTTCTCCTCTAACTCCCTCATCCATGATTTTTTAAAAAGTTTTTGTTTAGTTAAAGAATTCTTGGATAAAAACTCACTGATTTGCTTCTTAGCCTTCTGTTTCTGCTTGCCCTTTGAACTTCACGTGTCTTTTGGAAGCCAAATCTTAATGGTAGGTAGAAATTTCAAAAGGCCCCATGAAAAGTTTTCATTTGTTTTCTGTGGTTATGGAAACTAGTTTAGCAGTACTTATTTCAGTTGAAGATACTTGCCCTTTTCTTATAGGCTCTCTTATGGTTATATGTTATAGATCTTGTGATTATACAGTTGACCTTTGAATAATGCAAGGGATAAGGGCACAGCCCCTGTGCAGTCATGAATCCATGGTTAGCTTTTGACTCCCCCAAAATTTAACTGTTAATACCTTATTATTGACTAGAAGCCTTACTATAACATAAATAGTCGAATAACACATTTTATGTTATATTAATGTTATTTTGTATGTTAATATGTATTGTATACTGTATTCTTACAATAAAGTAAGCTAGGGAAAAAAATTACTAAGAAAATCATTAGGAAAATACATTTATAATTCATTAAGTGGAAGTGGATTATCATAAAAGTCTTCATCCTCGATGTCTTCACGTTGAGTAGGCTGCAGAGGAGAAAGAGGAGAAGTTGATCTGGCTGTCTCAGGGGTGGCAGAAGTGAAAGGAAATCCATGTATAAGTGGACCTGCCCAGTTCAAGCCCATGTAATTCAAGGGTCAACTGTATAAGATAATCTCATGACTGTCTTATTTTAGAAGAGTGAAAACTGCATGTTTCTTACAGTGAAAACCAAAATTCCATCAAATAGTGAAATCTCTTAATATACCACTTTATAATTTTGTAATTTTTTTCCCTTTGGAATACATATGCTCTCTTGGCTTTTTAAACTGTAGATGGCAGTAGCACATAAAATATGTTGATTGAGGGCAGGAAAATGTTCAGAATAATGTTCAATTGCTATCTGATTTTCCCAGTGTAACTAATTCTATTGTCAGAGAAACCACATAACATTTAAATTAAGGATGTCTGGATTTTTGGTAAGAGCACTCTGGAATTTAAAACTCTGTTTTCCTTATCGTATCAAGTGAATATTAAAAGTATATTTTTACCTCCAACTTTAATACTTCAGTTTGGGATTTCAATTTTTTTTTTTTTTACAGAGTCTCGCTCTGTCGCCTAGGCTGGAGTGCAGTGGCACGATCTCAGCTCACTACAGCCTCCGCTTCCCAGGTTCAAGCGATTCTTCTGCCTCAGCCTCCTGAGTAGCTGGGATTACCGGCGTGTGCCACAACACCCAGCTGATTTTGTTTGTATTTTTGGTAGAGATGGGGTTTCACCATTTTGGCCAGGCAGGTCTCGAACTCCTGACCTCAAATGATCCACCCGCCTCAGCCTCCCAAAGTGCGGGGATTTTTAGGAGTGAACCACCGTGCCTGGCCTGGGATTTCAAAATTAAGGTTCAGAGTTAGAAAGCATGACTGACTCATCACCCTGTAAACCAATTTTCTTATATTCTGTGGCTGTTCAAGTCTCACTGACTTTCCTTTTGTTTTATTTCTTACGTTTCACTCTCATTATCCTAGTTTAGTAACTTACCGTATCTCACATACTCTTAGACCTTATCTTTCCTGTTCAAGTGTGTCATCTCTGTAATTTGTTCATGCAGGAAATGTTTATTAAGGAATTGCTGTGTACCAGGCCCTGTGCTAAGAGAAAGGAGCAGAGTGTTGCTAATCACTCTCCAATCAGCAAAGAATATCAGCTAACAATCTGACAATGAGGGAGGGAAAAAAAGAAAATGTAAACTAGAATTCACTTTCAAAGTCATTTTCATAAAGATAGCCTGTTTTTCTCTATGTCCTCTTTCCCTTCCTCCTTCCTTTCTTTTTTCTTTTCTTTCTTTTTTTTTTTTTTTTTTTTTTTTTGAGATAGAGTCTCACTCTGTCGCCCAGGATGGAGTGCAGTGGCATGATCCCTGGTTACTGTAACCTCCGCCTCCTGGGTTCAAGTGATTCTCCTGCCTCAGCCTTCCAAGTAGCTGGGATTATAGGTGCCCACCCCCACGCCCAGCTAATTTTTATATTTTAATAGAGTAGGGATTTCGCCGTGTTGGCCGGGCTGATCATGAACTCCTGACCTCAAATGATCTGCCTGCCTTTGCCTCTCAGAAAGTGCTAGGATTACAGGCATGAGCCACCATGCCCAGCTTTTTTTTTCTACAAAGCCCTGTAAATCAGCAAAACCAAGCATGTAGGCTGCTAATACCATATAGAAAAAGATCTCCTTAGTAATAATACTGCAATAGTAATGCAATGCATTTCAAGGGTAAATTGGAATGCTTAGAATAGCTTTGTAGACACTGCTGTTCAAGGAGTAGAGTCGACCAGAGGGTAATCAAATAACTCACATTTTTCTTCATAAGCTGTCCATACCCAAGGTCAGCATGATAGAGAATGTGATGTAGTGATTGGTGGAAACTATGTTGTATTTTTTTAGTGGTATATAATCCTTTTAGCATATCAATAAATGAAGTTACTTTTTTTCTTATTATTTTAAAAGTTGAGTATTTTATCCCAGTTAGTAAATATTTATTGTGCCTTTCCTATGAGCATCCCCTACCACTGTGTTAAACCCTGCAAAGGACATAGTTTAGCAGGTTACTCTCCACCCCTAAAGATCCTGCACTGAAATGAAAGTGGGGATGTGGGACCAGACGTGTGGAGTGGGAAGTGCAAGCATACTTGGAATGCAAGGCAGAATTCATTGAGAGGTACAGACACATTTTCTGTTTTTATGTTTTCGCACGAGGCAAACTTCTGAGTGCCTTATTTAATACCCTTGGTGTGTTGTACATAATCAGAACTCTCCAGACATCTGTCAGTATTATTAACTTTTGTTTTTATTTTTGTAACTATAGAATGAACTTACTAAAACTATTTCATAAACAATTGTAGGTACTAACATCTTCCTAGCCCCAAACTAACATAGTCAAACATAAACAGAAGCTAGCTAAGATTCTTAAATACTTGGTAAATGAATACATGTTGACTAGACTTTAATAACTAGGTCTGAACTATTTTTATGCTTCAGAGGTTATTGTTTGACTCTTTCCTTCAAATGCAAATGAAGAGCTTGAAATGCTTATTAATCCTTCCCTTTAGTTATGTATGGAGCAAGTTAGCAATGAATTTAATGATTCACCCTGGCTGCAGAAACATGTTTCATTTGGTCAGGGAAATAAAAATTAATTAGCATTTTGTCTTGCATAAGGCAGTAGAATAGAACTATTTCTCTTGTTTGAGGACTTATTCAATTACATGTAGTCCCTGTAGATATTTTTCTCTCTGAGTTGGGACTTAAAACTTACTATCATGAACACTTTCAAAACTTTACAAAAATAGAACTATATACCCAACAGTTGCTTCAATAATTATCCAATAGGGTCCAATCATGTTTCATTAATATCCCCATTCACTGGAGCGTGCCTCTTCCCCTTTTTTTACATGAAAATATTTCTAAAGCTATCACTAGGCTGCTAGGTTTTTTGTATTAATTATTATAAATGTCTTTGGGAAGAACATGTTTTGTTTTTTAACCAGTGAAAATTTTAAGACCTGGAAAGGAATTTGGTAACACATATAAGGTACCTTTCTAAAAAAGTCTTTAGGGGTTCCATTAATCCCCTTTCTGGAGTCTAGCCTTAGGAAATAGAAATTAAGGGCGAGGTCTTTGTACAAAAATGTTTATCACAGCATTCTTTATAACAGTGAACAATTAAAAATCCATATATATCTAATAGAGAATAATAAATCCACATGGTAGAATGTTTTATGGTCTTTAAAATGTCTTCAAAGAGTATTTAATAACATGAAATACTCTTTTTTTTTTTGAGATGGAGTTTTGCTTTTTTTGCCCAGGCTGGAGTGCAATGGTGCCATCTCCGCTCACTGCAACTTCCGCCTTCTGGGTTCAAGCGATTCTCCTGCCTCAGCCTCTCGTGTAGCTGGGATTACAGGCGCACACCACCATACCTGGCTAATTTTGTATTTTTAGTAGAGATGGGTTTTTACCATGTTGGCCAGGCTGGTCTTGAACTCCTGACCTCAGGTGATCCTCCCACCTTGGCCTCCCAAAGTGCTGGGTTTACAGCGCGAGCCACCGCTCCCTGTCCAATACTTTTTTTAAATAGGATAAAATTGCATCTATATAATTATCCAAGCTGGATAGTATCTTTGTGTATACTGTATGATGGACTGTGGAAGTCTGATTTGCTCTTACCCTGGTTTCAGTAAATCAAGCTGTACTGCAATTCATTTCCTCAGTTTCAAAGAAAGCTTTTCATTTTTCTGATTTTTGAAGCATTGTCAGTTCTCTACTTAATCCTTCCAAATTGCCATTCATTTGCTGAAACCTGAATTGTGACCTCATGTCAGTATTCAGGATACTTGTGCATTAAGATCCTAGGATATAAGTAAATCAAAGGCATTGCTTATATTCTTAGATGACTGACATTAAGTACCTTTTATTTCCTCATATGTAGGTTAGCAATCAACATTATTTTCTGCCTGTAGGCTTTTCTTAATAATTAAGAATATCATATTCTTTGTTCCTGACTTTACAGATTATAAGCACACCACAGAGACTAACCAGTTCAGGAAGTGTTCTGATTGGGAGTCCATATACCCCTGCACCAGCAATGGTTACTCAGACACACATAGCAGAAGCTACTGGCTGGGTCCCTGGGTAAGAGTGTTGCAAGTTACTATTTTTAAAACCTTAAAAAAGAAGTTTAGACATTTTTTTCTCACTATCTTGTCTTCCGTTCTTGTTTTATTTTAGTTTAGTTCTTAAAAACAAATGTTTTTCCTTTAAAATCACCTATTTTATTTCACTTTATATCTTAGATATAAATCATCTCTGGAACAACTATTTTTAAACAGAAAAAAACAGTACAATAAATCATAACTGAACGCCGTGACTTTTTAAACTCTGGAATAGGACTACTTTTATTATAACATTTAACTGCTTTGGAAATATAAAAACTCTATTTTTATATATTTTTAACTCACATAAAAAAGGAGTTAAATATTAAGTGTTGGCTATACTCAGAATTTCCCCTATGAATTATTTCCTTAAAAACCAGAAAAGGTTAGGAAAAGAGGCCAAATACATTTTTTCATTAAATTTCCTCTTCTTTTTAAATGCTGAACAATTGAATCAATATCTCTTCTATGTTACTAATTTGTCACTTTTAGTACAAACTTCTATATGTTTCATCTTTGCCTGTAAATACTTACACCTTTCTCTACTCTTTATCATTTTAGTACCTCATACTTCCATAAAAGAAAAATAAATAAGATAAATTGCTGAAAATCTCGTTTTGTTACTTGAGATGTTTTGTTACTTTAGAAGTTATTTACATGGTGGAATACTGCATTGGTGATTCTGTCATATGTGAGTTTGAGCAAGCAGATGGTAAATCTTAGTGCAGTAAGAATCTCCTTGCTTCAAGGATATTAAGTGAATTAATAATCCTGGCAAAGTGCTTTAAGATGTATACATATTAATATACATAAATACATGCCTACACACACGTACAAATACATTAAAGACAGAAGAGTTTTGTATATGCATACTTTTCCATTATCAAATGAGCTGAAATGACAGAATTACCTGTAATCCTATGGGCGTTACTCAATCCTCATGAACATTCTTGTGTACATCTAAGGTTACCCTGGATTTCTATATAGCCTTGAAAGATTATAACATGAAAGCCAAGCCTGTGCCAGCAGTGTTGGCCCACTTTGGAAATGACCAGGGTCTGGATATTTTCAGCCCCATTTGTGCTTTATATCGGAGGTGGCAGGATTGTCTGGTATAGTCAGTATTTCACAGAGTGAAGAAAATTTTTCTCTGTCTTGTTTGCAGGTCTGCAGTGTTTTCCTCCCTAACTATTCATTGAGCTCTTTTCAACCTATGATTATTATGTTGTGATATCTTGTTCACATGATACAATTAGGATTTATTTTATGTACCTATCTTTTGTATTTGTTAGTTTTAGTCTTCAAATATATTCAATGTATAATTAGACAAGTTATAATAAAGTATTAATGAAATTAAATTGTATTTAAGTATGTGTTGTTTTTATGCTATCTTTTTTCCTTTTTAGTGATAGAAAACGGGCTAGAAAATTTATAGACTCTGATTTTTCAGAAAGGTGAGTATAAGTCTAACTATTTTGTTTGGAAGATTCTGTTATATAGAGAGGTTGTTGGCGTTGCAACTACTCTGGTTTAATGCGATGTTTCTCTTCGTGTAACTTCAACTTCTTTCAGTTTTTGCCATTATTTCATTCTGCATCAAGTGTCCCAGTTCACTCATAGTATCTGTATGGTTTCAGTAGAAATTACCCTGTGAGCAGATTGACTATTGGTAGTATGTCCTTTAGTATTACCTCCCCTCTTTCCATCTGGGAAATGAAGAGTTTTATCAAAGTGAATGCTCCACATTACCCTAACATGCCCAAACTTTAACAAGTTTTTCTTTTTTCTTTTTTTTTTTTTTTTTGAGATGGAATCTTTCTTTGTCACCCAGGCTGGAGTGCAGTGGTGCGATCTTGGTTCACTGCAACCTCTGTCTCCCAGGTTCAAGTGATTCTCCTGCCTCAGCCTCCTGAATAGCTGGGATTACAGGCGCACACCACCATGCCTGGCTAATTTTTGTATTTTTAGTAGAGACGGGGTTTCACCATGTTGGCCAAGCTGGTCTCGAACTCCTGACCTCATGATCCACCTGCCTCAGCCTCCCAAAGTGCTAGGATTACAGGCGTGAGCCACCGCACCCTGCTAAGTTTTTCTTAAAACATTTATAAATCATAACAAACTCTCAGTTGTTCTTAAGCAATATGTTGGGCATAAGGAAAGTTCACGTTATCTTAGAATATTAGGACAGTGGCTTCTCCATTCTGACTGCATCAGAATCACTTGTAGTCTGTTAAGTAAAAAATAAATGCCTGCCACGTCAGAAACTCCTACATTTTCTAATTTGCTATCTCTGATTTGCTGTGCCCTGAGAAACTAGATGGCTAAATGTGTTAGAATTCAGTCTAAAATGAAAGTGACTAGGCTCTGAGTGAGAACTGTGGGAATATGTATAAAGGATGTGTGTTTTCTTGCCCTGACACTAGTGCTGTTTCAGTTCCTTGGTGGCTTTTGTTGCTTGCTTCTTGGTCCTAATTGTTTTCAACAGATACAATCACGTCTGAGGAGCTGCCGTACCATAGAAACGAAATGTTCTTTACTCTCTAATGGAAAGTCCTCTTTCCAACTCAAACTGGTCTTTACTGGTGTTTATCCTTGGAAAGGGCAACAGAACAAGTTCTTGCAGATGTATTTAGCAATGTTTAAGGCCTTAAAATGGAACTATTTGTCAGTTATGATGGGTGACACCTCTGCATTGCAAACAGTACAAAAACCAAGATTCTCTTTATTCTCCTTTGTAAGTGAGAATTCTAAAGATCTATAAGTGAGAATACATAAACGTGTTAGATTAAATGTATTAGTATAGCCATTGGTTCAACTTTGTCTTTCTACATTTGGTTCAGTGGCTTTTTTTCCTAGCATTTTTTTTTTTATCATTCTTTAAAAAGTTTTGAATGTAACTTTTCTGCAGTGTATCCCCACCACCCCTCTGTCAAACTGCAAAGATTTGACATGTGTTTTTCTTTATTCCTTGTTCTAAATTAGTAAGATTTAGCACAGTGGTGTTTCAGTTTTTTCTTTATGCTTCTTTTTTTTCTTTTTTTTTTTTTGAGATGGAGTCTTCCTCTCTCTCCCAGGCTGGAGTGCAATGGCTTGATCTCAGCTCACTGCAACCTCTACCTTCTGGGTTCAAGCGATTCTCCTGTCTCAGCCTCCCAAGTAGCTGGGATTACAGACATGCACCACCATGCCCAGCAAGTTTTTGTATTTTTGTAGAAGCAGGCTTTCACCATGTTGACCAGGCTAGTCTCAAACTCTTGACCTCAAGTGATCTGCCTGCCTTGGCCTCCCAAATTGCTGGGATTACAGGCGTGATCCACTGTGCCCAGCCTCTTTTGTTTTTAAGACATGGTGTCACTCTGTTGCCCAGGCTGGAGTGCAGTAGCGCGATCTCGGCTCACTGCAACCTCTGCCTCCCAAGTAACTGGGACTACAGGCGTGTGCCACCACACCCAGCTAATTTTTGTATTTTTAGTAGAGATGGGGTTTCACTATGTTGGCCAGGCTGGTCTTGAACTCCTCACCTCAAGTGATCCACCTGCCTTGGCCTCCCAAAGTGCTGAGATTATAGGCATGAGCCACCACACCTGGCCTTTTTTTTATTTTTTACTTTTTTGCTAATTAAGTCAAGGTTTAATTTTATAAACATGACTGAAATATTTTGTTGATTTAAATATTCTGGTTGACTCTTTTTTTAACAAGAAATGAAACTTTTACTATATATTTTATATAACTCCTTATTTAAATGAAATACATTTATTGCAATTTATACTTGAAATACAATACTATAAATTTAATTTGTATATTACTTTTGTAAACCATAAAAAATTTATTGGGAAAATGTCAAGAGATGGTTTGTAGATTCTAGTTACGTGCCTGGAAAGAAAGAAAAATACTTTTTTATTCTTTGGGTGTAATTCTTTTGAATACTTAAAAGGAAATAATTAATAAACTGTAACATGCTTTTCAAACCACAGTATATTAGTGGGGTTTGTTTGTTTGTTTGTTTGTTTTTCGAGATAGAGTCTCGCCCTGTTGTCCAAAATGGAGTGCAGTGGCGCGATCTCTGCTCACTGCAGCCTCCGCCTCCTGGGTTCAAGCAGTTCTTTTGCCTCAGCCTCCTGAGTAGCTGGGATTACAAGCACCCACCACCATGCCCAGCTAATTTTTATATTTTTAGTAGAGACAAGTTTCACCATATTGGCCAGCTAGTCTCGAACGCCTGACCTACCTCAGCCTCTCAAAGTACTGAGATTACAGGGGTGAGCCACCGTGCCCAGTCTGTGGTTTTATTTTCTTATTTAGGTTTTAGTTTCTTAATTTAGTTCCTTTGATAAAGAATGCTTCCTCCTGGTTTCTTTGTTTGGTTTATGAATTAATAGAGTGTTTACATCCTGTGGCCAAATATTGATGTTATTTGGAAAGAGAGGGTCTTGGTGTTTGAAAGATCTCAGGCTCTTAAAAAAATGTGTAAACCCTATATATTTAAGATTTAAATAGAGAGCTTCCAATTTAAGATGATGGACTGGGCTGGGCACGGTGGCTCATGCACGTAATCTTGATACTTTGGGAGGCCGAGGTGGGCAAATTACAAGGTCAGGAGATCGAGACCATCCTGGGTAACACAGTGAAACCTCATCTCTACTAAAAATACAAAAACTAGCCAGGCATGGTGGCACATGCCTGTAATCCCAGCTAGTTGAGAGGCTGAAGCAAGAGAATCACTTGAGCCTGGGAAGCGGAAGTTGCAGTGAGCCGAGATCATGCCACTGCACTCCAGCTTGGGTAATAGAGCGAGACTCCATCGCAAAAAAAAAAAAAAGATGGACTGATTACTCATGTTTACTCCCTACCTTCCTCATGCCCACTGCTAAGATATTATTGAAATTTTAGTATAAAAAATAATTAAAGGGACCTGGGCACAGTGGTTCACGCCTGTAATCCCAGCACTTTGGGAGGCCAAGGTAGCCATATCACTTGAGGTCAGGAGTTCAAGACCAGCCTAGCCAACCTCATGAAACCCCATCTCTACTGAAAATACAAAAATTAGTCAGGCATGGTGGCACATGCCTTTAATCCCAGCTACTTAGGAGGCTGAGGTGCAAGAATCGCTTGAACCCAGGAGGCAGAGGTTGCAGTGAGCTGAGTTCGTGCCACTGCACTCCAGCCCCGGCAACCGAGTGAGACTCTGTCTCAAAAATAATAATAATAATAATAATCATAATAATTAAAGTAAATCTGCAAAGGTGCTGTAAAAAATGATAGGGGTACAGATTTCCCAACTGGAAAATGAAGGCTAGTGTTATGATGAAAAGTGAAAGTAGAGAAATCTACATCGCACAATATGCGTGGAAGAAGTCAGCATCAGAAATGGTAGCCATTGTACCCTACATTGTCACAGAGAGGCTCCAGGCTTAAAGTTGACTTCTGTAGAAAGCAAGAATGAATTGTTGGAGGAAGTAAGGAGAGTGATTAAATAAAGACTTTGAGCAGCTGGGCCGGCTGAACCATCCCAACCCTTCAAATCCCCTTGTACCTCTTATCCCACCTCCATACACAGAGCAGTTGCACCAAACACATTTCTCCCCCAGGGCTGAAACTTGGAGAACTGATCCCAGGGAAACAACTGCCTGCCTCAGTTGGGTTTAAGAATTTTAGTATGCCGCCAGGCGTGGTGGCTCACGCCTGTAATCCCAACACTTTGGGAGGCCAAGGCGGGCAGATCACGAAGTCAGGAGATCGAGCCCATCCTGGCTAACACAGGGAAACCCCATCTCTACTAAAAATACAAAAAATTAGCCAGGCGTGGTGGCAGGCGCCTGTAGTCCCAGCTACCTGGGAGGCTGAGGCAGGAGAATCGCTTGAACACAGGAGGCCGGAGGTTGCAGTGAGACAAGACTGCGCCACTGCACTCCAGCCTGGGCGATGGAGCAAGATTCTGTCTCAAAAAAAAAAAAAAGAATTTTAGTATGCCCCAGAACAGGTTTTCCTCATACTGGCATTTGTATTTGTGGGGAAGAGAGAGAGAACAGACTGGCTGCCTGCTTGCCTGCTTAGCAGCAAACACAACCTGAAGTTAAGCTTGTTGCCAGCATGGCCCACTCACATCCACAGAAGTTGTAGTTAGCCCTGCACAAGTGAGGAGAACCTTCTTAGGAAAACAAGCCTGCATACAAGAAGCTCATGTAAACTCTATATGTTGAAAACTTGAATTCAACATTTGTGAATATGAAAGAACAGGACATTTTGGGAAAACTATCATGAAAGAAAAGGAACAAGATGAATAAACAAAAGTTATGACCCAAGAGGATGTAGAACAGTAAGATAAAAAAGAACAATAAAATAAAGTTGTAATTATCACCCTTTGAGAGGTCTGAAGGTTCCTAAGAAGCGAATACCCATGAAAGAAAAAGAAGATCCTATGGAAAAGAAGCAAGGAAGAAAAACATTCTGTGAA